AGTTCTCTCTGCTTGCTTTTTTTTTTTTTTTGTACCTGGGATTGAACTCAGGGCCTCTTGACCACTGGGCCACATCCCCAGCCCTATTTTGTATTTTACTTAGAGACAGGGCTTCACTGAGTTGCTGAGGCTGGCTTTGAACTTGCAGTTCTTTCTCAGCCTCTTGAGCTGTTGGGATTACAGGCATATGTGCACCACAGAACCTGGCTTCTGCTTTTTTCTTTTGGCTCTGGGGATGGAACCTGGGGCCTTGCACATGCTAAATACTTGTTTTACCACTGAGCTACACCCCAACCATTGCATTTTTTATCTCTGTCTTCAGAAGGGATGTGACTTGAGGCACATGATCCCCCATTAAATTCGATTAAGTAACTTAAAGATCACAAGAAAGGTAGAACAACTTTGTGAAAACAAGAGATGAAGCCAGGCACGATGGAACCGCCTGCCATCCCAGGCCAGCCTGGGCATCTTAGACTCTGTCTCATATAAAAGATAAAAAGGGTTGAGAATGTAGCTCAGTGGTAGAGTACTCCTGGGTTCAATCCCCGGTACTGGGTTGGGAGAAGAAAACAAGAGATAAGAACGGTCATATTTTTTCTGCTCACTTCATTCTAATTCCTGTATTGGTGAAATATATTTTGTGGGTCAGAGACTTTCTTGGGGTTGTTAACAAACCACTGGTTTCAGCTCCACTCTAGTTGCTGTTCTTAGGCCCCTAATAGAGCAAGAGCTGCTGTAATCACCTGTGCATCAAAACCAGCAGCAGATGGTAGACATCCCAAATATCTGCCCTAGGGAACAGTGCAGGGGACATGTGCTGCTCCTTGTGCAGTGAGGACATGAAGCAGCAGCTTACCATTTATCCCATAGCCACCCCTCATCTGGAGTCATGTGAAGGCCCACATCTGGTATAAGTCATTATGTTTTGCTTTGGGAGGAGGAGGAGGCTTGGACAACTTCTGTATACTTTGAATTTTTGTTGTTTTGCAGTGTCGGGGATCAAACGCAAGGCTTCATGCCTACTAGATAAGTACTCTACCACTTAGCTACATTCCCAACCCCTACTTTAAATTTTTTAAATTTTTGTGTTTTCTGGGCAACTAAAAATAGTCTTTTTTTACATCTCTAGCCCAGTCAGGTGGGCAGCTCTACTGAGGGTCTAGGCATTTTAAAGTAGTATTTTTTCCCTGCCACATACTTTTCAGCATCCCCATTTTACAGATATTAAGAGCCTTACACAGCTCTCATAACAATGAAGGAAAACGTGTTGAACTGGTTTTCCTGAGCCCAAAACTTGTTTCTGTCCAGGTCATCCCTGCCTGGTGGTAAGAGACACAAACACGAGCTGTGGAACACAGTGAGTGCTCTAGCAGCTGAACATTGCTGGTGGGAGCTTTGAGTCTTCTAAGCTTAAGCTTGTGTTTGGTGCCTGTCTTCCCTCATTCCAGATTCTGCCTGATCAATGCAGGAGTCCTGTACCTCTACTTCAGCAACTATCTACAGATCGATGAAGAAGAATATGGTGGCACCTGGGAGCTAACAAAAGAAGGATTTATGACATCTTTTGCCTTGTTCATGGTATGTAGCTGGAAGTTTTAGAGCAGGTTCTATTCATTTCCTGAGATACCATTCTTATAGAGCCAGCCAGTTAAGTTGTACTACGGTTGGGGGGCCATCTTTTTTTTTCCCCTGAAGTACTAGGGCACTCTACCACTGGCTACATCCCCAGTTCCCCAGCCTTTTTTTTTTAAGAGAGAGGGAGAGAACTTTTTTAATATTTATTTTTCAGTTTTCAGTGGACACAACATCTTTATTTTTTTATTTTATGTGGTGCTGAGGATCGAACCCAGCACCCTGCGCATGCCAGGCGAGCGCATTACCGCTTGAGCCACATCCCCAGCCCCCCCAACCTTTTTTATTTTTCTTTTGAGACAGGACATCACTATATTGCCAAAATTAGCCTTGAACTTATAATCCTGTCTCAGCCTCCCAAGAACAAGCATTATAGGTGTATGCCACTGTGCGCAACTAAGGTGCCATTTTTCAAGATTCCTGAAGTTGGAGGACATGTTTGAGCCAGGTTGTCCCTGTGATGTGATGTGGATGCTGTACAGTCTCCCGGAAAGTGTAAATCTAGGACCCATTGTCTACTTCTGCATCTGATTCTCAACCTTGGCTACATATGAGAAACTGGGAAACATTTAAAAATATATATGACATTATTATTTAGAACATTCATAACAGCTAAAACATGCAGAATGTTAATTCGACCATGAAATGGAAATAAGTCCTGATGTGTACTACACATCATGGATGAGTCTTAAAAACAAAGCTAAGTGGAAGAATCCGGACAGAAGACCATATTTATTGTATGATACCATTTATGTGACTTGTCCAAAATAGGCAAGTCCATAGAGACAGAAAATAGATTAGTGGTTGCCAGAGGCTGAGGTGAGCGAGAAATAGGAAGTAATAACTAATCATGGGAACAGGCTCTTTTTGGAGAGTTATTTTTGGATCAGTTAGTGAGGATGTCTGCACAACTTCATGAATATACTAAAAACCTCTGAACTATATGCTTTAAAAAAAAAAAAAAAAAGAGTAAACTTCCTGGAATGTGAATTATATATTCAAAGGTTTTTTTTGTTTTGTTTTGGTTTTTTTTTTAAATACACCTATCCTGTGTCCAGACCCTGGTCCAAACCAATAAAATCTCTTGGGGGCTGGGGATGTGGCTCAAGTGGTAGCGCGCTCGCCTAGCATACGTGAGGCACTGGATTCGATTCTCAGCACCACATAAAAACAAAATAAAGATATTGTGTCCACCTGGAACTAAAAAATAAACATTAAAAAAAAAAAATCTCTTAGGAGGTGGCATCAGGAAATCCTGTTTTTCTTAAAGGTTCCGAGAGATTGAAAGGGTAGCTAGGTTTAAGAACCTCTGCTTTGGGCTGTGGTGGGGGCTCAGTGGCAGAGCACTTGCCTAGCATGTGGCACTGGGTTTGATCCTCAGCACCACATAAAAATAAATAAAGGTATCGTGTCCATCTACAAAACGTAAAATAAAATATAATAATCTCTGTTTTGATGGAAAGCTAAAAGTATGAAGGCTATTTTTACACTTGTTAGTAAATTGAGCACCTGCTAGCAGTCCAGCTCTACTTGTATCAATTCCACCTGTATACCCCACAGTACTCTCTGGGGCTCAGGGCGCTGTTTGGTGAGGGGAGGGGGGTATTCAGAGGGTCCCTTTTGGAGCATAAGGGAGCGGTCCTGTGATCTGAGACAGCCGATTTTGATGAAATAACTTAGGTCTCCTGCAGGTTATGCATTGGGTAGCCCCTGGGGAGTGCCCTGTGCACATTCTTATCTGACATTGTTATTTTGTGGACTTATAGGCCTCTGTAGATCCAGGTGCCACATCAACATTGTTTGTCTTCCCTGTAGGTCATTTGGATCATCTTTTACACTGCCATTCACTATGACTGAAGATGTACAGTTCCCACCTGCTCCCTGTCCAGTCCAAAGGACCCTCTTAATTACAGCAGAAACATCATCATTGGGACACCCCAGCCACATGGAACCTGGAAGACCCGCGTTTCCTGGACTGAGAATCAGTGTGTTGGGCGTCAGTGTTTTCTGCAAGGGTCATGACCTGAAACTTTTTAAAGAATCATCTGCCTTTGGGGGAAGCATTTCTGAATTTGTCCATCACCAACTTTCTTCTTGGATACCATCATGTAACAGCTGTTTGCTGAGTGGAGCTGTCATTTAATTTGATGCACCTCTGGATCGGGATGAAACATTAAATTGTCTTCCTTGGTTCTCCATCAGGTGTACAGTTTTTAACTATCAGTGGCATTTCAAGTCTTCTGAAAACAGTATGGCAGTATGTATGCGGTCATTAGCACAGTACAAGCAGCATCTGATAACAGTTTGCATTGTAGAATGTTTTCAGATACTTGAATAAATAAATCTTTAACTGAGAACCTGTCGATGATACCTGGTAAAGCCTTTCCTACCCACCTGTAGCCTCTGAACCAAGTAGAAGTACCAGAGGTGCCGCCTCCGCCTGTCCCCCCTTCCCCGGTCTGCTCCCTCAGCAGCTTCAGCCAAGTGTCTTTCTCTTTAGGGAACAGGCATGGCCTTGGTCTTGGGGTTGTGGAAAGAGTGATTACCACTTCTGATGCCCCTGCCCAGCACTGAGAAAGGGCCTGGCCCACAGTGTGTTATGCCCCAAAATGTCATTTTGTATTTGATCACAAGATGGCAAGACGGGGTGGTTGGGAAAGCTTGGCTAGGTTTGAATGATAAGCTACAAAACTAAGGAGAGCTGAGGCTGTGCAAAGAAGTGCTGGCAGGGGTGGTGGGGGCAAGGAGGGTGCTTCATGACCTGGATTATCAGCAGTCCTTCTCTTTGCTCTGGGAGTCAAATGGAGGCTAGACGACCCAGGATCTGCTGCTGTGGTAAGCCGTCAGCCCCTCTGCTCTCCTTTCCCTCATGAGCCACTGTCCCTCCCCAAGGTGTCGCAGTATTCTGATCAAGACTTGTACGGTTCTTTATTTTATTTATTTATTTATTTGGTAGTTGGACACAATACCTTTGCTTGATTTATTTGTTTTTATATGATGCTGAGGATCGAACACAACACCTTGAGCGCCTTACCGCTGAGCCACAACCCCAGACCTTTTATTTGTTCTTGTACAGTTTCTTTAAATGATTTGCTTCTCCTTGGTGCTAGTAGTGGTTTCTACCTTGTAGGTGAGGCTGGTTAGCAGGGAGGTAGAGTGACTTGGTAGGCAGTAGATTGGGTGGTACTGGAAATCCCAAATTTGGGAACTGACTGGGTGTTTGCTTTGTGTGTGTGCAGTACTGGGGACTGAACCCAGGACCTTGCATATGGTTAAGCACCACGTGTGCTCTGCTGCTGAGCTACATCCATGGCCCTTTTTGAAATGTTTTATTTTGGGACAGTGTCTCACTCAGTTGCTCAGGCTGGCCTTGAACTCTAGATCCTCCTGCTTCAGGGCCCCAAGTAGCTGGGATTACAGGCATGTGCCACTGCACCTGGCTGTTTACTTTCTTTGGAGCTCTGGCTCTGTTCTCAACTGCCCTCCACTTGAACTAGAGGTCATAGATAGAGTCATTGCCTGAGAGGAAGTAAATGACTTCTTGGAGCCAAGTGAGGGAGGAGCAAAGGCTCAAGGTGGAGCTGGATGCTTTGCCCCCCGGGATGCCCATGATGAGCTGAGTTGGGGTTCTAAGTGCCACAGACTTGGTTTCCTTTTCGACCTTTGCTTTTAATCTTGCCGTTGTCCAAAGAGGTGTCCTCAGTCAGGCTGATGTAGGAGCTGAGGGATTCCCGGAGCCCTTCACTAAAAAGAGATGCTTCCCCTGTGGCAGGTGCTTCCGAAAACAAGAGGGAGCTGTGGATGGGGAAAGCCAGGTGAGGGAGCTGCCTCCTCCCTGCACTCACCACATGGTCCACTGCTCTCAGAATAGCTCCATGTCACTCTTACTGACAAACTCAAGTACCTGCTCCCTATCAAACCCCATCTGAACCTCTGCAGTCAGAACTCTGCTCCCTCACCTCCTCCTACTTTCCTTCCACCCTAAATGCCTTGAGGTCCATGCTGGCTTTCTCCTTCCTAACAATCTTCACCCCAACATACCCGCCAAGCCTGGAGGTAGAGCTCTCTGACTCCCAGGTGTCCCTGAGCATGACAGACCCATTCTGGGTTATGGGTTCCTAAGAGTGAGTCCTTCTAATGCTTCTCTGTTCTGCTTTCATGTTTCCAGTGGTCTCCTCACCTGTCCAGCTCTTTCCAATTGATTGATGTCCTCTGCACAGTCACTGGTAGGGGGATATCCTTGCCAGGAATTGGGCCAGGCCTCTGTAGTGCACAGGGCTCCTTGAGGAGGCAGCAGATGTCCTCTGCTAGCTCTGAGGAAGAGACCCACACCCTTGACATTGCTGACACCAGCCCTACTTACCCCACCACCACCTGCCCTAACTTGGGAGGGGATATGGTTACCAAAGAGCAGTAGGACCTGAGCCCCAAGCTGTTGGTCTCATGGAGACTTGAGGTGCAGTTACAAGTTATTGTGGGCTGTTTTGGGAGACTTAACTTAATCCACTGAAATTTTGGGTAAATTAATAGACTTCTTTGGGCCCTAACTAATAGTTAGGATCATGTTTTAGGAAGAACAAGCCAAGGGGTGCTCATTTCTATTTACAGCACTGACAGTATCTATTGTGTGGAACTATCCTGCTTAGAAAACTGCTGATCGGTGTTACTAAGATCATCTTCCCTTCTGCCCTGACTCTGACCTGGTTTCTTATTTTCCAGTGCTTTTTGTAAGACAGGCACCAGAAAATGCTGAGAGTCAGAACTGCATTGCACACAAGAACAGCTCAGCCTACTTCCTTTGAGGGGAGCCCTGTCTGCTGTGGGGGGCTTTGGCTGAGGTACCAGCCAAGCTCATATTTGACCTGTAGCTTCTTTATCAGCTTGGGATAAAGACAGTATCTCTGCAGCTACTGGCAGGAAGATGGGGAGGCTCCTCTTGTGTCTGGATATTCTCCAGCTACGAAGTGTCCACAGGCAAACACTCTACCCCCTAGACCCTTATCCAGTGTATTAGGAAAGAAAACAGAAAAGCCATACCAGAGTAATGGTCCACCAGGGCCTGCAGTGAGGGGAAGGTGAGGCGTGGTGAGATGTACAGCCAGCCGTTGTCAAGGCGCTGGATCCTATAGTGTCTGATCCGGTCCCAAGATGCAGGGCGACTGAGTCGGACAGACAGGGAATAACAGCCTGCAGAGAAAGGGGTTCAGGGGTGTTACTGAGGCCCTGCTGGGACCCTGCCTAGCTTGGAAGAAGAAAGAAGCTATGGCCACAGGGCCCAGGCTTTAGGGAATTGTGTAGGGCAGAGACAGGCCACAGACTTGCTTTCTTGGTCATAAGTGACATGTGTATAATAGATGGGGTCTTGTGAGGAAGAGTTGCATCATGCACAGAGCCCCGACCGTACAGGGTCAGTACTGTGTAAAGGAACATATTAAATGTTGGCAGAAGTGTTGTAAGGTGAATATGTGTCCAGTAGATGTCAGCAAGGAAGCAGAGAAACTCCCTTACCTGCTGGTGAAAAGAGAAACTAGTACAAACCACTCTGGAAACAGTTTGGCATTAAGCAGTTGAATTATACGTTCACATACCTTAAAACCCAGCAGTTTCATCCTAGGCATGTTACCTTAGAAATACATGAATATTCATAGCAGCATCATTTGTGAAAACAACCAAAACTGCTAACAGTTCATATGTGCTCAATAGTAGAAAAAGGGGTGGGGTAGAGTGCTTGCCTAGCACTGGGTTCGATTCTCAGCACCACATATAAACAAATAAATGAATAAAGGTTCATCAACAACTAATAAAAAATTAAAAAAAAAAAAAAGGCTGGGGATGGGGCTGGGTTTGTGGCTCAGTGATAGAGCGCTTGCCTAGCATGGGTGAGGCACTGGGTTCAATTCTCAGCACCACATATAAATAAGTAAAATAAAGTCCATTGACAACTAAAAAGAACAGCTGGGGATGTGGTTCAGTGGTTAAGCGCCCCTGGGTTTAATCCCTAGTATGAGAAAAAAAAAAAAAAGGAAAAATAGAGAAAAAAAATGATATGTACACGCATATAATACATAGGATCCCAACAGCAGTTTTTAACAAATTAGGACATAAATGAAAGTACTTTATGAACTTAAGGTAGAACCATTTTTTTTTCTTTTTGAATTGCTGCAGATCAACCCCAGAGCCTCACATATGATAAGCACCTTATTCGACCACTAAGCTACTTCCTCAGCCCAGATTCATTTCTTATACCTTTATTTTTGTTGTTACTAGAGATTGAACCCAGGTCTTTGCACATGCTAAGCAAGTGCTCTACCACCAAAGCCACATCCTCAGCCCTTTTTAAGTTTTATTTTGAGACAGGGTCTTGCTAAGTGGCCCAGGCTGGCCTCCAACTTGCCTGCCTCACTCTCTCGAGTTGCTGGGAGTATAGGCATGTGCCAGTACACCCTGGCCCAGATTCATTATCTTAAGTCAAATGGGAGGACAGTACTGAGTGAAATAATAGCAAGAAATTATCAAACTCTATAAAGAGGAAACAACTAATGATAAATACACTTCAAATATTAAAGGGCTAGTCAGGTGCAGTGGCACCCATTTGTAGTCCCAGTGATTTAGGATACTGAGGCAGAAGGATCACGTTTGAGACCAACCTGAATAGTTTGGCAAGACCATGTCTCAAAAAACAAAAAGGGTTGGGAATGCAGCTCAGGGTAGAGCACCCTCGAATTCAATCCCCAGTATTAGGGGGAAAAAAAGACATTTTTTCAAAAAGACAGGTTTATGGGGCTGGGGTTGTGGTTCAGTGGTAGAACGCATGCCTATCATATATGAGGCACTGGGTTTGATCCTCAGCACCACATAAAAATAAATAAAATAAAAAATATTGTGTCTGGGGCTGGGGATGTGGCTCAAGCGGTAGCGCGCTCTCCTGGCATGCATGCAGCACGGGTTCGATTCTCAGTACCACATACAAACAAAGATGTTGTGTCCGCCGAAAACTAAAAAATAAATATTAAAAAAAATATTGTGTCTGTCTACAACTAAAAAAAAAAAAGACAGGTTTAGAGTAAAAAGACTTACCACAAAATAGGAAAGTTGGAGGGGCTACATTAATATTAGACAGACAAGGGCTGGGGTTGTGGCTTAGTGGCAGAGCGCTCGCCTAGCATGCATGAGGACTGGGCTCGATCCTCAGCACCACATAGAAATAAATAAAGATATTGTTGCCACCTAAAATTAAAAAATAAATATAAAAAAATATATTAGACAAAATTCAAGACAGAATTCAAGACCAAGAATATTATCAAAGATAAAGAGAGACACATCAAGAAGGCAAAAATCAAGCCAGTCCTGGTGGTGCATGCCTGTAATCCCAGCGGCTCAGGAAGCTGAAGCTGGAGGATTGTGAATTCAAAGCCAGCCTCAGCAACTTGGCAAGATCCTAAGTAACTTAGCAAGATCTTGTCTCAAAATAAAAACCAAAAAGGGCTGTGGGGCTGGGGTTGTGGCTCAATGGTAGAGCACTCGTCTGGCATGTGTGAGGCACTGGATTCGATCCTCAGCACTATAAAAATAAATAAAATAAAGGTATTGTGTTCATCTACAATTTAAAAAGTTTTTTTTTCTTTTAAAAAGGGCTGGGGATGTGGCTCCATGATTAAGCACCCCTGGGTTCAATCCCTGATACAAAAAAAGACAAAAATTGGCCAGGTGCAGTGGCTTGGGAGGCTGAGGCCAAAGGACCATAAATTCCAGGCCAGCCTCAGCAACCTAGTGAAATTCTGTCTCAAAAAAAAAAAAAAAAAAAGTGGGGCTGGGAATATAGTCTAGTGCTTGCCTGATTGCCTGATATTTGTGAGTTCGAAGCTTTTGGTTCCAGTACTTAAAAAAATGAAAAAAATATTTTTTGTTTTGTGAAACAGGGTCTTACTAAGTTGCTGAGGGCCTCACTAAATTGCTGAGGCTTTCCTCGAACTTGGAATCCTCACACCTCAGCCTCCCAAGTTTCCAAAATTACAGGTATGCACCACTGCACCCAGCAGAAAGAAAAATCTTAAATCTGTATGCATGCAATTACAGATACTCAAATACATAAGAAACAAAACTAGCTGGGTGTGGTGGCACATACCTGTAATCCCAACGACTCAGGAGGCTGAGGCAGGAGGATCCCGAGTTCAAAGCCAGCCTCAGCAATGGTGAGGGGCTTAGCAACTCAGTGAGACCCTGTCTCTAAATAAAATACAAAATAGGGCTGGGAATATGGCTCAATGATTGCGTGCCCCTGCATTCAATCCCTGGTATCAAAAAAAAAAAAAAACAAAAAAAAACTAACACAATTGACCGGAGAAATCATAATTTGAGATCATAATTATAATTAAGGATTTTAACACTCATCTCATAGTAATTGATAGGAAACAAAATCAGTCAGGATATAGAAGACTTGAACAATATGGTACAATCAACCAATTTGACAATTGAAAGCCTACACCCAATAACAAAACATTTTCTTTCAAATACACTTGGAATATTCAAAATAACCATTAGTCTGGGTCATCAAAACAAAAACTTAAAAGGATTTAAATCATTAAAAGTATGTTCTTTGTGTGGACAAGCTGGTGCATGCCTGTAATCCCAGCAACTCGGGAAGCTGAGGAAGGAGGATCAAAGTTTTAGGCCATATTGGGATGTGTAGCTCAATGGTAGAGCACTTGCCTTGCACAGGGACCTGAGTTCAATCCTCAGCACTGAAAAAAAAAAAAAAAGTTACAATAAAAAGTATGTTCTCTAACCTAACAAAAAAATTAGAAATTAATAATAAAAAAGATACTTGGTCCATTGGGGGTGTGGCCTCAGCCGTAAGACGGTATGTTTATCATGTGCAAAGCCTTGGGTTCCAGTGCCAGTGCCACAAAATAAAAGCCAGGATATGGTGACACATGCCTGTAATCCTAGTGACTCAGGAGGCTGAGGCAAGAGAACTGCATTCAAGGTGAGCTTTGGCAGCTCATCGAGGCTTAAGCAATTTATGAGAATCTGTCTCAAAATTTTAAAAAGGGTTAATTGAAAGAAGGTGCGGGGGCTGAGGTTGTAGTTCAGTGGTGGAGTGCTTGCCTAGCATGTGTGAGGGGTTCTATTCTCAGCACTGCATATAAATAAAAATAAAGGTCCTCCAATTACTGACAAAATATTTAAAAAATAAAAGGGGGTGGGCCAGGCATGGTGGCACTCACCGGTGATCCCAGTATCTTGAAGGCTGAGGCAGGAGGATCCCAAGTTCAAGGCCAGCCTTAGCAATTTAGTGAGACCCTGTCTCAAAAAAACAAAAAGGGCTGGGGATGTAGCTCAGTCGTAAAGCATCTCTGGGTTCAAACTCCAGTACCAAAAAATTAAAAGCCAGGTGTAGTGGCGCCCACCTGTAAGCCTGTATCCCAGCTACATGGGAGGCTAAGTGAAAATTTTTAAAAGGGCTGAGGAAGCCAGGTGTGGTGTCATACACCTGTAATTCCAGCAGCTTGGGAGGCTGAAGCAGGAGGATCAAAATTTCCAGGTTACCCTGGGCATTTCAGTGAGACCCTGTCTCAAAATAAAAAATAATGTAACATTCAGTGGTAGAGTGCCCCTGGGTTCAATTCCTGACACACACACACATATACACACACTTTTGCAGGCTGCAGCAGAATCAGTACTTAAAGGGACACTAGCTTTAAATACTTACTTTAGAAGAAAAATATAAAACTATTTAAGCTTCCATCTTAAGCTAGAAAGAGAAGAATAAATTTATGTAGGAAGAAATGAAAAAAATAAATGATACAGAAAATAGAAAAGAATCAATGAAACCAAATATTGATTCTTTGAAAAGGTACATCAAATTGATAAAGCTCCAGCTAGGCTGAGCAAAATAGAAAAAAGAACACAATTTACCTATATCAGGAATGAAGAGGGATGTCATTAAATCTCAAAGACATTCAAAGAGTAATAAGAGTATATTATGAACAATTTTATGCCCGTAAATTCCACCAAGTGGACAAATGGACAAATTCCTTAAAGGATACAAATTGCAAACACTGAATAGGAAATAGAAAATCTGAATATTCTATATATATTGCAGAAATTGAATTCATAATTTTAAAACCTCCCACAAAGAAAACTCTGGCACTAGAACTGGGCACAGTAATCCCAAACACAAGAGA